TAAGCTCACTATCTAAGATGTACAAGAATTATTCTTGTTTCAGTGTATATTGCAAAGATCATGTTGTAAATATTTTAATGATTTGTTTTAGTTTAATGGTATTTTGAATGCACTGTCAATTAAACATAGGAAAAACAAACATTCAATAAAATAGTCACAAGATATTAAATATGTGGCTTATCCCTAAAATACTATATATGCTTTAAAAGATGACTGAAAACAATAGAATTGTAAGTGCAGAGTCTTAATTTGGTAGAATTTAATGTTTGTTCCTCATTTCTCCCCTCAATTAAAGGCCTAGTTGCTGGAGATTTACATGAAACTTTTATAGTCATCTGCAAATCATATGTGTTTGGTGGCAAACCTTATTCCATTTTGAGGTGAATTTGGAGGAACAGCAATTTAACTTAAAAGAAAATTTACAATTCTGTGACTATAAATAAGGCTTAGATGTTTTTAAGTTATGTTTAATTATAGTCTAATGAAATTATGAACTATAAAGGAAAAGGCACTTTTTAATCCCAAATTTAAGTATACTCAGTTTAGCCATGACCTTTCTGACTAAAGGTATAAAAATACAATACAAACCTTTGAATGGCAATGTGGTTTCTAGATTGTGTATGGAAGAAAAATCATTGCATGCCCACATTTGTGGTTTTTTGTTTTTTTTTAGATTGACTTATTTGAGAGGTAGTGTTCCAGGCAGAGAGATGAAGAAACAGAGAGAAAGGTCTTCCATCCCCTGGTTCACTCCCCAGATGGCCTCAGTTGCTGGAGCTGAGCTGATCTGAAGCCAGGAACCAGGAGCTTTTTCCAGGTCTCCCACGTGGGTGAAGGGGCCCAAGCATTGGGCCATCCTCTTCTGTTTTCCCAGGCCATAGTAGAGAGCTGGATCAGAAATGGAGCAGCCGGGTCTCAAACGGGAACCCACATGGGATGCCAATACTGCAGGCAGCGGCTTTACCCACTATGCCAGAGCACCAGCCCCTAATTTTGTAAAGAGTATCTTGCAAGACTACAATGGAGGTTTCAGCTAGACTTGATTCCTTCCTCAAGGCTCTGAAGAAGATCTTCCTCCAAGCTTTATCTATGTCCCTTGACATTTTAAGGCTGGGATCCCCATTTCAATAGACTGTTCTTAGCTTCTAGAATACCGCCCCCAACCCCAGTTTCTGTGACACATAGCCCTGTCCATTTTCAAAGCTAGCAACAGAGCACCTCCCTCCTGTTGAAGCCTTTCTACAGTTTGCTTTCTCTAAGTTTAAGAAGGACCCAGTGTCTTTCAGGAGCTCACTTGATGAGTTCAGACCCACCGAAGTCACCTGCCTCTTGGTTAACTCAAAGTTAACTAGCTGTTCCTGGGAGTGCAGTAATATCTCATCAGGTTCCACATCCCAACTGAGAGGAGTATACTAGGAGGAGGGACAGTGGAGATGATCTTTGAATTCTGCCTACCCCAGAGTAACTAAGCTCACTGGTGTAAAATCAAAAAGTCAACAGAGTTTAAGATATTGAGTAGAGATGCAAGAACTAGGGAATTGCCTGGATAAAAGGGAACTAGTTATGAGAAATGGAAGTAGAGAAGAGAAAAAGATAGAAATTCTCATGGAATAAGGCAGAGAAGAGAAAGATGTAGAATTTACCGTAAAAGATCATGATTTGCTAGGCCCTACTAAACTGCAATGCAGTTTGCTGGAGCATACCCAAAGGACTTGAATAAAATGAGATTTATCGTATTTATTTCCTTGTGTAAATGCTTACTTAAGAGATTGGGTGTTGGGAAAGAGGCAAATGAATGGTGCTTATCAAGTAATAATATAATCTCACTGCAAATACAAAGTTCCGAGTTGGATAGCATTTCTCTAAATCACAAATACTAATGAGAACTTGCTCTGGTGAAGCTACTGTCCCGCTACATAAGTTTGTAAAAGTCGCACCAACCTATTAACATGTCAGTTATCCTGCCATGGGCCAGCACATGACTTCATGTAGTAGAGTCCAGTTTAGTGCTTTGGAAAATTTTCATAAAATTATATTATTATGAATTGAATAAAGGATAGGATAGTTTTTTTATCATTGAAATTTAGCATGTTTAAAGGGCTTTACATGGTCTAAAGACCATGAATGTATTAGTTCTTAGATTTTTTTTTCCGAGTTTACAAATGCTCATTCCACAAATAACAGCTTTAGGCCGGTGCCGTGGCTCACTAGGCTAATCTTCTGCCTGTGGCAGTAGCACCCCAGGTTCTAGTCCTGGTTGGGGTGCCGGTTCTGTCCCGGTTGCTCCTCTTCCAGTCATCTCTCTGCTGTGGCCCGGGAAAGCAGTGGAGAATGGCCCAGGTGCTTGGGCTCTGTACCTGCATGGGAGACCGGGAGGAAGCACCTGGCTCCTGGCTTCGGATCAGTGCAGTGCGCCGGCTGTAGCAGCCATTTGGTGGGGGTGAACCAACGGAAAAGGAAGACCTTTCTGTCAGTTTCACTCTCTCACTGTCTAACTCTGCCTATAAAAAAATTGTGTTTCTTTGTGTTAGTAACTCCCTGTTGGACAGGAGTAAGAAAACTTTTTCTTAGCAGTTCCAGTTTTGCCATACCTTCAGTTCTCTCCCGATCATTCTTATTCAATTATTAAACGCATATCGTGGGGTCGGGGCCGTGGCTCATTTGGTTAATCCTCTTCCTGAGGCGCCGGCATTTCATATGGGCGCCAGATTCTAGTCCCAGTTTCTCCTCTTCCAGTCCAGCTCTCTGCTGTGGTCTGGGGGGATAGGGGGGAGGAGCAGTGGAGGATGGCCCAGGTGCTTGGGCCCACATGGGAGACCGGGAAGAAGCACCTGGCTCCTGGCTTCAGAGCGGTGCAGCGTGCTGGCCCTAGCGGCCATCTGGGGAGTGAACCAACGAAAGGAAGACCTTTCTGTCTCTCTCACTGTCTAACTCTGATGTCAAATAAAAAGAAAAAAAAAAAAACAAACGCATATCTTAGCAGATGTGAAATATTTTATTTCACAGCCGTAAAAATATATCCTGTGTACTAAATACTCTTCAGAAGCTCAAAATTCATGTTACCATAGTAATTCACTAAGAGCTTCTGCACCATTTCTTCTATCTTAACACTTGCATATAATGTTAATAGTTTCTTAATAATAAGACATTAAGACCAGTATTTTGACCTCATTTTACTTTTTGAGGTCATTTAGGCTTGACATTATTTAGAATTCCAATTTTTGTGTGTCTTGGAGCTTCTAGGAAGTTGTAAATCCAAATAGTATGCCACTGTTGAGGTCATTTTGTCAGCTTGATTTCTAAAGCATTAGGAATAAAGAGTAGGTAAAACACAATAATTGATGTGTGATATGCTGGGCTGACTGACAGTTCAGGATTAAAGAGAAAACCAGTTAGTTTCCTCCTACATTATTCCATTGCTGCCTCTTCTATCATATTTCTTTATTTTGGTAAATGTTTATTAATATTTTTATTTGCAAAATTGAGTGACAGAGGGAGAGTATATATCTTCCAACCACTGGAGATATATATCTTCCACCCCCAAATGGCTACAACAGTCTTTTATCCAGGCTATTCCCTAGTTCTTGCATCTCTACTCAATATCTTAAACTCTGTTGACTTTTTGATTTTACACCAGTGAGCTTAGTTACTCTGGGGTAGGCAGAATTCAAAGATCATCTCCAGTGTCCTTCCTCCTAGTATACTCCTCTCAGTTGAGATGTGGAACCTGATGAGATATTACTGCACTCCCAGGAACAGCTAGTTAACTTTGAGTTAACCAAGAGGCAGGTGACTTTGGTGGGTCTGTACCCAATCTCTTAAAAAGCATTTACACAAGGAAATAAATACGATAAATCTCATTTTATTCAAGTCCTTTGGGTATGCTCCAGCAAACTCTGCATTGCAGTTTAGTAGGGCCTAGCAGATCATGCTAGGCCTTGGGCTAGACTGAATCCAGGAGCCAGGAATTCCATCTGTGTCTCCCATGTGGATGGCAATTCCCAAGTACTTGAACCATCACCCATGCCCTTACCAAGCACATCAGTGGGGTGCTAGATATGGAGCAGGGCACCTGGGACTCAATCCTGTGCTCAGATATTAGATGCAGGTGTTGCAAGCAGCAGCTTAACCTGATGCACTACAATGCCAGGCCCCAGTCCTCACATTTCTACTTTCTGTTATCTGCATACCCTTCTTATTTCGTCAAATATAGAAGTAGTGCAGATCTTTATATAATTAATTGGAGCTGTCTGATTTTAAAATTAGGACACTTTAATCACTTTTTATTTTTAAAAATAGGGTTATATGGCACTTTTATTATCATATGACTCGTATGTGATAAATTCTTGGAGATAATAATCTTAACACAGTTTTATTGTGATTTTAGGAATCCAGACTAGCTGGTGGTTGATTGATTTTTCACACTATTTTACTGGGCCCTATCAAGTATAAATAGTATTTTATTTAATAACATTAAAGTATTCCTTATTTCTCAGTAAATCTGAAAAATGATACTGCATTTGTATTGTGTGATGCTTACTCAGTACTTTTGTGGGGGGCTAGATGTGGGTTAATGAAAAAAGGTTTATTTTGGGGACTAGCATGGTGACATAGTGTGGGTAAAGCCACTGGCTGCAGCACTGTCATCCTATATGCCCGCCAGTGGGAGTTCTGGCCACTCCATTTCCAATCCAGCTCTCTGCTATTGGTCTGGGAAAAGCAGCAGAAGAAGGCCCAAGTATTTGGACCCCTGCCACCTGCGTGGGAGACACAGTGAGGCTTCTGGTTCCTGGCTGAAGCCTGGCCCAGCCCCGGCTGTTGTGACTATCTGGGGAGTGAATCAGTGCATGGAAGATCTCTTGCTCTATTTCTCCTCTTCTCTCTTTCACTCTGCCTTTTAAATAAATAAAATGAGTCTTTTTAAAAAATGTTCCTTTTAAACTTAAATTTTTTGGACTGTCTGTTCTAAATGCATTTCTGTGTCTATGCTTTTGTTTTAGGAGTACAAGATCCCCAGCATGAGAGAGTTATTACTGTGTCTACTAATGGAAGTATCCACAGCCCGAGGTTTCCTCATGCTTATCCAAGAAATACAGTCTTGGTATGGAGATTAGTAGCCGTAGAGGAAAATGTGTGGATACAACTTACATTTGATGAAAGATTTGGGCTTGAGGACCCAGAAGATGATATATGCAAGTAAGTTGTCGTACTTGAAATTCTGGTGGAATGTACCAACAACTGGAGTCTTCCAAGTTGCCTCAGTGCTGTGAATTAAAATGGCAGCTTTCTTCTGTTTTGCTCATGACTTAAGAAAATGATTGGATTTCTAAAATGATTTGAGATAATTTAATAATATACAAAAGTTCACCAGAAGCTTAAGGAAAATATGTATTATGAAGACTAGGCATGGACTTAAGCTTGCTTTACACCAAAATAAACTTCTCTTTTAATTTCATCATTCCACAAATTTTTGAAGTATTGTTACATATAGAGTAAGACCATTTAAACTAAAGAAGAGAGAATAAAAAACTACATAAAATAATGAAATTTTGCCAGAAATCCTGTTACTGTTAGTGTTAAAAATCTTACATTTGAGCTTTCTAACGGCCAAATAAGGGATAAGCTGTTGAAAGAAAAGCTGTATCCATGAGTTCATATTATCTTGATACATATATTTTCCTTCCCTCCTTCCTTCCTTCCATCCCTCCCTCCTTCCTTCCTTCCTTCCTTCCTTCCTTCCTTCCTTCCTTCCCTCTCTCTCTTTCCTTCTCTCTCTCTCTCTTTCGATCTCTCTCTCAAATGCACACACACACACATGCACATACACACGGCCAAGACGCTTAAAAATTTATCACAAAGAAAAAGTAGATTTTTGAAAACAGAATTTAAAATTTTGGCTACTATATATTTTGCCAGGTAAAAATTCACCATAATTCTAGAAACATTCATGAACCAAAGTCAGCTGGAATATTTCACCCACATGAAAGACCACCTACTTTATGTCATACAAATATTACTCTTTAAATCCCATATGAATACACTTGTCAAGGTTGGGTGGTCTTATTGAAGATTTTTCACTTCAGTGGCATTTGTATATCATAAAAATATTTTACTTGAACTTCTTTGCAGGGATCTTCATTTTCTCTTTGATATTCAAGTTAAAAGAGAATTTTCATTTTATGGTATATTACAGATAAATATTTCAGTGGATGAACTAAACTTTGTACTTGCTGTCATCACACTTTTTATCTTTAGTATTTACATAGTTACATTTTTTCACATAACTTTTTATGTGATTATGCATTTCATGTTGTTTTATTCCTTACATCTGTAATTTTAGACTGTGAGAACTAGGAGCTATCCTATCATTAGTGGAATGTGTTATTCAACACTTCATAAGGAAACAGAATGGAGAAGTAAAGTAATTGTTCTAGATTTCATTAGTATATTATATCTAAACAAATGCTAGAACCCATTTTTTGTAACATTCATTTGGGTTGGTTTTCCCCAGGTGATACTAGTAGCACCCTTTGTATTCTTTCTGTAAGTGAGAATTCATAATCTTGTCAGTTATAGAAAAGGGTCTTAGATTTTTGCCCTGCCTTTTGAGTAGCTAGTTAGCCTATCACAGTTTCGTGGATGAAGACCAGAGATGGCTGAGTCATGGAGAAAAGTTTTTAGTAGAATAATATAAATATCTGATGTTCTGGTGCTTGCTTATTCTTTTTCCAGAGTCCTATTTCCCATAGTCAACACCAACAGGGTTCATGTTATACTTGAATACTTAGTGTGTTATGGATGAGGAAACACTACAGATGTGTACATTCATATTTACATATTCATGTGTATAAATAATATGTTATTAGTTAAGTAATAAAAATTAAATTCTTATCCAGCGTGCCTCGCCAGTGTGTTACACAGCTTCACCCAGCATATACTACCAGTAGTTTGAAATCTCTTTTCCATGTTTATCCCTGATCACATCTTCTTGTCCTTGTGAAAAGAATCATTTTCTTAAATTGCTACTTATTCTTCCTTTCTCTATAATTTAATGACATATACACATTTGCCTATGCCCTACCCTTTAAAATAATTTATTTTTGCTTGTTTTCAAATATGTCAATGTATTAATGCTATAGGTTTTCTTGGTGACTTGATATAACATTTAAAAACAAGCAAATATAAACAATATTACATTAAAATTGATTTATGTTGGTGACCAGAGCTTAGATCATTGGTTTCATTGATGTGTAGAATTTCTTTGAAAAAATAGTGAAACTTAACTGTTATTAGCAATTTCCGAATTCAAAAAATAAGAGTAACTTATTGAGGAAGCAACTCAGTTCAATAATAATCTAATATATAGATTAACATTTTTTGGTAATCTATATATTTTCTACAAATCAGATATTTGTCTTTTGGGACTAGCTTATTTCACTAAGCATAATGGTCTCCAGTTGCATCCATTTGGTTGCAAAAGACAGAATTTCATTACTTTTTTATGGTTCCTTACTATTCCATCGTGCATGTATACACAGTTTTCCTTGTCCAGTCATCAGCTGATGGATTGTGAATTGAGCTGCTATAAACATGACATACAGATAATCCTTTCTTATGCTGATTTCATTTCATTTTAATAAATTCCCAGGAGTGGGATGGCTGGGTCATATGGTAGATGAATTTTCAGATTTCTGATGAATCTCCATATTGTTTTCCATAATGATTATGTGTAAGTTTACATTCCCACCAACAGTGTATTAGTGTGCCTTTTTCTCTACATCCTCACCAATATTTATTAGTTTTTGATTTTTGGATGATAGCCATTCTAACTGCAGTGAGATGAAACCTCATTGTGGATTTTATGTGCATTCCCCTGATAGCTAGTTATCCTGAGCTTTGTTTCATGTGTCTATTTGCAATGAAAAATGCCTGTTCATTTCTTAGCCCATTTCTTAATTGGATTGTTGTGTTGTTTAATTTCTTGAGCTCCTTATATATTCTGGACACTAACCCTTTATCAGATGTATAGTTTGCAAATATTTTCTCCCATTCTGTTATTGGCCTCTTAACTTTGTTAAGTGTTTCCTTTGCTGTGCAGGACCTTCTTAGCTTAATGTAATCCCATTTGCCTAGTTTTGCTTTTATTGCCTTTGCTTCTGGGATCCTATCCAAGAAGTCTTTGCCTGTGCCAATGTGTTGCATTGTTTCTCCCTAGTTATTTGATGTTTTCGGGTCTTAGGTTTAGAACTTTGATCCACTGTGGATTGATTTATGTACAGGGTATAAGGTATGGGTCTTGTTTTATGCTTCTGCACATGGACATCCAGTTTTTTCAAAACCATTTGTTGAAGAGAATGTCCTTTCTTCAGGTAGTGATATAAGCTCATTTATCAAAGATTGGTTGATTGTAGATGCCTGGATTCATTTCAGGGGTTACTAATCTGTTCCATTGGTCCATATGTCTATTCTTGTGCCAGTACCAGGCTGTTTTCATAATAACTTTTCTGTAATATATCTTGAAATCTGGTATTGTGATGCCTCCAGCTTTGTTTTTAATTGTTTAAGGTTTCCTTAGCTACCTGGGGTCTCCTACATTTCCATATGACTTTCAGGTTTGTTTTTCTAGAGCTGAGAAGAATGTTGTTGGTATTTTGATTGGAATTGCATTAAATATATAAATTGCTTTGGGTGGTATGGACATTTTGATTATATTAATTCTTTTAATTCATGAACCAAAACCACTTTTGTGGTTTTGTATTCATCACGTATTCTTTCTTGTGATACTTACTCATTTGTGAGTTGAATGTTATTTTAAAATCTTGCGCTTTTATATTATTCATATAAATCACAGTCATTTCTTTATGGATCAATCCTGTTTTAGATGTACTCTGCCAATTTTGATTATATAATATTTTAATTGTTATCTGGTTGATGTTTTTATAATGTTTCTTCTTTTAAACCAAAAGTTATATAGAAGCAATTTTTCAATTTCTGTATTTATGAATTAGTTTTATAAAAAGCATTTTTATTATAGATTTCTAACTTAATTGTGTTTTAGATAAAGATTATGTCCTCTTTGTAATGGTTTAAAATTGAAAACTTGTTTTATTAGCTGCAGAAATCTAATTGTTGTGAATGTGCTTATAAAGATACATACAAGTCCAGAGATAAAAACTTATTTATCTTTATTAATGTTTTGTTTTTCCCTCAAAGTATATTATGCCTAGAACAGGTGGTTGGTTTAGTGGTTAAGCCACTGGTTGGGATGCCTTCATCCTGTATCATCGTGCCTTGTTCCATTTCAAGCTCAATTTCAATTCCAGCTTCTTGCTAATCTGTGCCCTGAAAGGCAGCAGGTGACGGCTTTGGTAGTTGGATCCCTGCCACCGACATAGGAGACCTGGATTGAGTTCTCAGCTCCCGTCTTCCATCTAGGCATGTGTGTATCTGGTGGCATGAACCAGTGCGTGGGAGATTTATTTCTGTCTGACTGTGCATTCCTTTCTTTCTCTCTCTTGAAAAAAAAATGCTAAATATATTATGCTTAATGTTAATGTAAGTACGTCAACTAATTTTGGTTGCTATTTGTTTGGCATTCTGATTATTAACTTTCTTATGTCCCTGTGTTTATTTGGAAATGCATTTCAGTATGTGTGTCTGTGTGTGTTTTGGTTGTCTTTCCTGAAAGTCATGTGCACAGTGTAATAAAGAACAATTCAGCAAAAAAAAAATTCTTCATATTTTCACTATGGAATTTAATCTAGTACATTGTTTTCATGAGTATTTTGGATTCAATTCTACTACTTATTTTGTACATTTCATTTATTCACAGTTTTATATTTCTTCCGTTTCCTTTCATGCAAGTTGTCTTCTCATTGCATTTTTATTTGTACTAATCTTCAGAGTATCCATTAGTTTCTGCTTTGAATGAGTACCTTAGAAATGCACATTTCACATAACGATATCTATAGCTAATCAGGGAGTAGGCACTCGCCCAGTGTTCAAAATACGCCTGGGACCCCCACATCCCATATCACAGTGCCCGGGTTCAAGAGCCAGCTCAACTTCCAACTCCAGCTGCTTGCTAATACATACCCTGGAAGATCAGGGATTGATGGCTCAAGTATTTGAGCTGCTGCCACCTGTTTTGGAGTATCAGCTTGAGTTCCTGGCTACTGGCTTGTGGCTGGCCCAGC